TCACTGACCTCGATCTCGCCCCCGCTGGGCCAACCAGGGGGTGGGCGCTGCTCTGTCACCCATGGGGCCTAGTAAGGACAGAGCGGGTGAGGCAGGGCACGTGCAGGATGGTCGGGTAGTGGTGTACGTGGGCGCCCTGCACTGAGCAGTGCAGGACCGTGGCCAGCGGACAAATGCCCCTGGTGTCCCCTAGACCCAGCCCCCCAGCCCCATCTCACCTCGTTCTCCACCTCCATGTACTCGTGCACACGCTCCACAGCCACGATGTTGGTCTCCAGCTCCGATGTCATCCGCACCAGCCAGTTCAGCGTCTGGGTGATCTGCGCGGCAGAGCCTGACATGTGGGGGGTCCCGACAGCAGCCCAGACCCCTCCCTCCCCCAGGGCCTGAGCAGACCGACCCCCCAACACCGCACAGCCCCTGCCCCATCACACCCAGGGCATTGACCCTACCTGACCCCCTGCACCCCACCCAGGGGACCCCATGGCATCTGGTGGGAGCAGCCTGTCCTGAGCCCCTTGCTGTGGGGGACCAGCTCCAGCCTGATGCCACCTGCCCTCACTTCTCAGCCATGCCAGCAGCCTCGGTAGGGCCCAGCCTGGAGTGCAGCTGCCCAGCCCTGTCTGCCCCATGACTGGCAGGGTCCTGCAGAGTGCAATCCACCCCCCCCCATATTGGGCACAGGGACTCACATTGAGGGCTGAGGACACGGAGAGCCCCACAATGCCGCTGTCCAGTGAGTCCCGCGTGATCACAGCCAGGAGCGCAGCGAAGAAAACCACCAGGTTGCCCACAAACTCCAGGCGGATGGCCAGCCACCTGCATGGGGTGGGTTTAGGGAGGGGGTGAGTGCATGTCTGGGCAAAGACCTGGCACAGTTGTGACAAGTGCGGGCCCTTTAGCTGAGCCTGACGCTAAGGGACAGATGTCAAGTGCAGAGGAGGGGCAGGGGGCAAAGGGCTATAGTTGCATTTCAAAGGAAACCTGCAAGGGAAGAGAGCCTGGAAGACCTGAGAAAAGGTGAGAGGGAGATGCTGAATGTGTGAGAGGTGGGAGAGTTGAGGGAGCCAAGGGGGTGCAGATGCCTACAAACACCCAGGCAAAGATGAGGCCTCTGGGACTGCCCTCACCACCTAAAAAGTCCTGCAGCTCCCCCAGAAAGACCGACCGATACCTGGCTGCAATGGGACACGCTGCGTCTTAACTTAGGCGGAGTTCTTCTGGGGCGGGGGTGTTATTTTTTGGGTCTTAGGCTTAAACTTGCATATTGCTGTGCTCAATAAATGCTCTCATCAGTGAATGGCCTGGTCTTGTTCATGCCTGCATGACTCCAGTGCCACTGCCTGACACCAGATATTAAGTCTGGTAACAAATGGGCCTGCCCCACACAGCAAGTCATGGGTCGGGGGGGCGGGGGCGAGGGACCCTCTAGGAGGAGCACAAATCCTGCACTGGCCCAGTCTCCGTTCATGCCCTGACACTCCCTGAGGGAGACCTGGGCCGTAGGAGCTGCTGGGCATCTCTGCTGAGGTCAGGCCTCAGGTGCAGCTCCCCCGTGTCACTGGACCTCACTCTAAACCCCTCCTGGGCGCCCCTTCCATCGCCCCCTCCACGGCCGCAAGGAGCCCCCGGCCACCACCCTGCATCGCACCGCACCGCACCGCACTGCCCCACACATCACAGAACCAGTCCCAGGGATGTGGGGCTGGCAGGGACCTGCAGCAGTCACATCACAGTCTCCCTGCTCTGACCGTGCAGACGTGTTTCCTGAGACCCAACCTAAATCCGCTTTGCTGCAACTTCTTCCAAGTGCAACCCCGCAGCACCTCTCACTTGCCCAGCTGCCCCCACGCTTCAGCTGCCCTCCATCTCCCTGTGCTCCCCGCAGGGTCCCTGCTGCTGAGCTGCACTGCACCTGGCTCATGCTTCCCTCCCAGCCAAACTCGGGTCTCACTGGCCTGCCAGACTCAGTCCT